CCATGGATCCGCAAAAACCTCCCAGCAGACACCTCTTTGTCCTCCCAGTGCCCCTCCCTCTACCCACTACCCTCTACCCTTCACCCACACTCTCGGTTTCTCTCTTTCTCTCGCTTAGTTGTTTACTTGGCTTTGACTTTAGCGGAATTCTATTTATTTTCAAAAAAAAAAAAAACAAATTTCCTTTTGCGACAAATTTTGCACTCACACATGCAATCACGCCTACGCACACCCCTTCAAATGCCGTTACACACACACACTCGCCCAGTATATGGAAATAACGGTACACACTTGGCATCTCAGGCTAGGCGTGTGATCCTTGGGATTTACAAAGTAGCTGCCGTTCGCCGCGTAATTGAATTTACTTTATACTTTGCTGATTAGAAAAAAGAAAACGTTGATTGGATTTTTGTCAGTGTTTGCTTTTTATTTCTTTCTTTTGGTTGCACATGTTAACATAAGACGACTTCTTCTGCTGGATGTTTGTCTGCCATAAAAAAAAGTTGGCTTAAAGTTGGGGTAGAGATAGTTTAAAAAAATAAAAAACAGCTGAAAGCTTTTGGCTCTTAAATTATTAAATAAATCATAACAACAAATGTCATTCCCGGAAGCTAATTAATATTTTGCAGTAGAGCATTAATTAAGGATTTGGTAAAATCAATTAAAGTCCACCAATTTGTTTTGTTCATTTTTTTCATTCCCAAATATTAATTAATTCACATTTTGCAGTAAATCACGAATTTCGAATTAGCCAAATCAATTAAAATTTACGAATTTCTTTTGAATTACATTAAATATATTTAGTTTTAAGTGCAAACCCAGTCTGGAAATTATTCCAATGACCAAATTGGCAAACATTTGGTATTAAAATGTATTTACTTTTGGCAAATCAAGGGGAACAACAAATTAGTTTACCGCAATTTAAAATATGATATTTTGTGATTTTCATTTGAAAATCTCAAAGCTAACCTCAAATGTGCAATTACAAGCGAAATGCTTGGATGGCAATAACAAACAAATGCAATGGAAAAATGTGTAGGACACATTAATACATTTATGGTTTGCCGGCCACATGCCACACGCCAAACACCACACACAACCTGTAGCGATATAATTAAAATTTGAATGCAACAAACAGAAATGAACTATAACGATTGTTGTTGTTGTTGTAAGAGTGCTTTTGTGTATATGTCAACGTTGATTGCGTGTTTGTTTGCCTGCCACTGTTTGTGAGCCCATAATTAAACTAACAAACAATTGAATGATGTTCTGGTTTTTGATGAGTACATATTTGCCGAACCGTAATGAGTCTGCCACATTTTACCTGTCTGTTTGCCATTGCGTTTTTGTGGCATTTTAATTAATAAATGCGAGCGCATCGCTCTCTCGTTTGCACGGTTTAGCTTGTGGTCAAAATTGTCGACCAAAAACTTCCTGGCAATGAGCTGCAATTTAAAATTATCAATAGACTTCTAATTAACTTGCATTCTCCAAATGTGTTTTGGGGGTACAGAATAATTGTGTGAATGTGTCGTCTGTGTGTGTGTGCAGGGTATTAGTTGAGATGAGTTCATTTTGAGAATGAGAGATTTTGTCCTGCCAAACAGCACTAAATCTGAAAGCTGTAGAGAGAGATAGAGAGAGAGAGAAAAAGAGAGAGAGGGAGAATGCATAGCTACTACTATATTTTGCATTGCACTTTAATTAATTGAAGCAATCTTTTTATTTTTGCTCATTGCACTTGAATACACACACACGCACAAACACACACACACATACACACTCACACACACACATACACGCACACACACACATGAGCACACACTTCTCATATATGGTTGCAGCTATTCAAGTTGGTTTGCTTCAGTCAAGTTGCGTTGAAGTATGCAATGCTTTTGCTGTTTGCCACAACTTTTGATGCTTCCACATTTTTATTTTTTTTTTTTGCCGAGTTTGCTGATCTCTTTTTTATGTTTAATCAATTTCAAAGTACCCACACACACACACACACATAGAATAGTTTGTGGAATGCCTTCAGTTTATTGGTGCGTCACGTACTTGAGTCGAGAGTTTGTTTGAGGGTGGCTAGCATGAGAATCAACTTTGGCGCATAATTATTTCAGCATTAAGCCGGCGGAAACAGCAATAGACACAAGCAACCAGCAGCAAGCAGGCAGCAGCAGCCAGGCTATTTTAAGTACAAAAAACAACAAGTGAACAAAAAAGTTTCCCATCATATTTTACGCCATCATATCCCCGCCTACCACTTCAGAGATTGCTCTAGTTTTTATATACATGTATTTCACTGCTGGCTGTATAAGAGTATACATAATTGCTCTCAGGCCAACTTTTTTCTTGCGTGCTCGCTGAGAGCGACTAAAAAATATTCGTTATAGACAAAAGCAATATAAATTTGGGAAATATGTTATTAAAAGTGGTCGACTAGAATATTCTCTGTGCGCACACATACCGGAAAACATATTATATGCGATTCGGGAAAGGAGTAAGTTGCAAATTGAATTAAAATGGTGAAAAAAATGAATCTGTGAATGGCAAACTTGCGAATCATTCTACATTTTTTAGTTTAGTATTTGCATCGAGCCAGTTGTGACTACATTTAAGCGACCTTCTTTCCGCGACAAATGGGCGCAGAATAAGAAATTATCTCTTCTTCTAATGCGCGTGGCTTTCTTTAGCATTTTACAAAGTGGCAAATTAAAACCATTTTGATGCCTAAAATAAAACAATAGTCCATTCAGTTGTGGACTTTGCCTTTTGTTCGCCCGATTGCCCAAATGCGGCTTAGGGTTCGGATGCTTTCAACTTATAATGTGGCGAGTGAAACAAAGTGGCCAAAATCGCCCAATCCTTAGCCCTCTCCTCAGTACATCGCCAAGACAGTTATTTAGTTGTTCACATAAGGAAGGGGAATGCAAGATAGTCATTCTTACTCATGCCACATTATTTACATACTCGTAATATTTGCCTTGAAGTCTGTGAATGCTTTTGTGCATTTTCCTTTGGCTTCGAAGGGAAACACTAAACCTTTTATGGCAACGCTATGGCCAAACAAAAGCCTTTAAAATATTCATAGAATTGCTTTAATAACGCTAAATGAGCAAGCAAGTGGGTGGGAAACTCAAGGAGTCGATGAGTCGGTGGGGGCTATACGAACCCGCTGGCGGGTCGTTCAGTCAGCTATCAAATTGAGTCCATTGAGATCGAGGAGGACGGTTCGACTGTATGGTAGGCCACAGGTTATGCCTCAAAAAGCAATTTTTATTTACTAGAGAGAGAGTGGGAGCAATGTAGAAGTTGACTGATTGGCGCAGACTGGAGTAAATACTTGGAGACAACAACTGGCGTCCAGCTCAAGATGCGGCGCCACCTCAGCCCAGTCGAACCCCCCCAAAGGCTCCGAAACCCCCGCATCTGTATTTGGTATGCAAATCAGACCAACCAAATGGAATAAAAGGGAGGGTGCGCCATAGCGACGACAGGCGGGAACGATGACGATGACGACAGTCAAGCAGGAAGTTGATTAAATGACAAAATAAATAGAAAGTGAAGGATAATGTCAACATTCTAAGTGGTTTTCTTTTAAAAAGCTTAACTGACAATGAACCGCAGGGCAGCCATCGAGTCGGTGGACCGACGACCGCCAAACAGCCAACAGCGCCAAACGTATCCAGTTGAATAAATTATTTTTGTGACTGCCGGGCAGAAGACGAGACGAGACAGGGCGAAACTCGACCAGAGTTGCCACCGCAGGCCTTCTTCTTCTTCTTCTTCAGCTTGTTGTCGTTGTCATTGTCGTTGTGCGGCACTGACAGGAAATTGACTTTGATAGTGCATGAAATTCGATGATATCGCCTGCCTGCTGAAAGTGTTTCACATTTTTCTGATTTTCATTTATGCATGTTACTCCGACAACCATGGACGTGGGCGTAAGGTTAAAAAATTATATTAAAAAGTTTGCTGTTGGCAAATTTCTCATTAGAAGTTAGTTCAAGGTTCAATATTGATAATAGATTTTCGTAAAACTGTCGACTGTCCTTAATTTAGCATTATACTATCGATTGGCTTAGATACGTAATACAGTAGTTCAATGTTGATAATATATAATGCTTGGTAAAGAAAGAAGTTTATCATACAACAACTCATCTTTCCACAGATTTTTTCAAATAAGTTAAAATACTATATAGACCCTCTGCAAAATAAAATTAGTCGACTTGATTATACAGAATCTCTTAGTAGACCCAAGTACAGAGTATTTTCTAATTGCACAAATATATTCTTAGTTGAAGTATTTTAATTGTGCTCTACTTGTGTTGCCCCGTATCTGTTGTGCTCTACGCTTCAACTTGTTATTTTTGGCACTGTTCCTAATTGGTTTCGGGCGGCTGGCATATCTCTGCTGCTGCTGACTTGATACACTGTCCACAACAAATGGCGGCGACACATATGCATCATTAAGCAACTGGCTGAGTGCCAGATAAAACTCCCGACTGATGTCACTTCAAAGCGGTGTGAGTTTGCCCATGCAAAAACTGGTTAAACAAGTCATAAGAGGCTGAGTTGTAATTAAAAGCGTGGCAGAAATGTAGCTTAAGACAACTTTTTTCAGGTGTACAACTAATCTAAAGAACAAAATATGACAAAATAGACTCGGGATTAAAAATTGTTAAAATCGAAAATCACTGTAGGATTCTTACATTCCGTTATATTTGAACTTAGAACAGAGTATTTCTCTGGAATATCATTTTAAGCCAGTTGATGACATGAGGCAAAAAATAACTTACTTCTGGCCGAACTTAACTTATTTGGCCGTTAAATGCATATGCCGATCTTTAAAAGAAAGCAATTATTAAGAATTGACCTGTGTGCTATCAGCGCTGTACAGCTGCTGATAAGGAGTCAATGATAAGGAGTCACTCTGTGCTCGATCAGCTCGCAGCTTGACGATCAGTTATTTTCGAGACTTTAGCTGGAATTCAACAATGGCATTTATGAATGTTGTGGCGTTTGTAGCGCTGCTGTTGATGTCTGTCAATGCACAATATGATGGTGAGTAAAATAATATACAATATAATAAAAATAATGCTAACTCGTCAGATGTTTTAATTTATCAGATGCTGTGACTGCATCCCAATTGCATGTGACGCCCATTGACGGCGAAACACCGGACATCACCGCCATGGTTCCAGTTTTTTTCGCCCGAGATTTGCTCAAGGATCTCAAGCTATTTAATCTGATTGGTGAAGTGGAGCAGGCGAGGCATGATTGTTCTGCAAATGGATTTGTCTTCCAGATGAGTAACCCCTTACAGGCGGAACAAGTGATTAAGGCTTGGGCCACACGACCCGGAGAGCTCACCAAACAGATGCAGGTGCACCTTGCCAGAGAAGAGTGTCCTAATGATCTTGTTAGAAAGAAAAATGCAAAATAGATTGTTAAAGTTCTAACAATTGGTTAAAAACCAACCAAAAGACGACAAAGAAATACCAAATTTTCACAACATATTTCATTAATTTTGATTTGGTATCACATCGAAACTTTGAATGCATTTTATGCTTTTCAGCCGAATGACTTTAGATTCAGTAAAGAACCATGAAAAAACAATTATTTAATGCGTTTCTTATAGCGATGTTATATGCTGTGAGTTTGAAAATTGATGTTAAACTATTCAATGGAAATTATATGTTTACCAAGTAAGAGTCTCATATTTCGAAAAATGTGCTAGATAAAATATTAAAAAAAAGGCCGAACAAAGACCGTTAACATCAGCTAGTCAAACAATATGCAACTGTAACGTGAGATTCCGCTGTCGGCTCAAACGACGCCCATTCATAGACTATGTACATATTTAGGTAAGTGCACTCCACATTTGCCCACTAATGGCGGAGAGCATTCAACTAAAATGCTTACGACATAATCATATGCTTGACAATTCAAATTTTCAGCGAGACTGATAGTGGCACGGGAAGACAGAGAGCGAGCGAGGGTTTATATATACATATATATATATACATATATATGAGACAATCGGATTTCATGCTCATGATGCTGAGGAGAAAGATTACTGCCAGTGCGGAGAGGAGGAGAGCGTTGTGGAATTGTGTACCGATTTTTGTCTTACCCGAACAGCAAATCATAGAGCGAGGCATAACTATATATGTATGTGTGTGCTGGGAGGGTATGAGAGGAAGGGGGATGTGGGGGGAAGCGAGTTTGATGCTTGTCAAACAAATTATAAGCCGCTGTCGCGCTGCCAGCCGCAAAACTCAAGCTGCAAACCGAAAGCGATTTATGAAACTGTTGTTGCTTTTGTTGTTTCTTGTTGTTGCTTGTTATTGCTTGTTGGTGGGCGGTGTGGTGTGGTGGTTGAATGTGGTGCTCTCCCAGTGACTGTTGTTGCATGTAGTTAGTTTTCCCAGTTGTTGGCCCTGTGGGCGGCTTATGGGCTTAAGACTAATCCGCATATGGAAAATTATATAATATGCATGAGAATGTTAAGGAGATGCCAGTATGTGTGTGTGTGTGTGTGTGTGTGGATCGACTTTGAATGGATGTGGACTAATGCTGATATAGCAATTTCCACAGTGACACATTTTCAGGCACCAACACACATCCACACAGAACACAATGTGAAGGTAAATGTGCTCTGGTCGCATATATACTTTTAATACCCTGTATTATAAGGTTGTGAGGTTATCATCTGTAGAGATATGGCTTTAAAAAAAAAACACAATTATATAACAAGCAAACATTTAACAAGTAGTTATTTTAGAATCAAATTTCTACTAATATACCCAATATTCTAGTCCACTTTCAATACCAGCCCTCCGACTATTTATAATAATCGGCCCAAAAATCATAAAAGTTATTTCGCAATGGATTTTAAAAACTGAGAATATGCCACTTATGTATCCTCGACTCGAGCACTTGTGCTCGTTTTGTCTGTGTGTTCACTTAACTTTTGCCAAGTGCAATTAATTTGCAACATGCACACACGAATAAATATAAACATAAATAATAAACGCATATTAGTGCACAGTTTAATTCGTTTTTATTTAAAAGCAAACAGGTGCAGTGGGTGGCACAAAACAACGGGAAAAGGGGTGTGCCAGGGGCTATGGCTGTTTGGTTTTGCGGCTGTCAGAAGGCTCGGACGGATGGTGCTGATGTGCAGAAGACGCACTTACATCAGTGCACAATTTTTACATTAACGTAAAATGTACGGAAAGAGATGGCGAGCAATAACCGGGCGGGAGCGGGAGCGAGAGGCAGGAAAGATGAGGGCAAGCTGAAAGGCAGCTCTTTCTCTTTCATACGCCCCATGCGCTGTCGTGGGAAATTAAAATAAAAAGCAAATTCACACACATATACAGACTGTGATAACAACAACTATTGCATATATATAGTACGGAAAGGGAAAAATGCAATTTTTGACTTTTCCGGCGTGTCCAAAATGCGCAATAAAAAGGCGAAACTTTGGCACTCGACTCGCTTTGGCGAAAAACCAAGTGAATTGCGGTCTGATGGATTTTTATTTTATTTCACTTTTCTTCTCTTGCATTTCACATATTTTTTTTTTTTATCTCAACAACCTAGCCACCAAAGATAAAAAAGAAATAAGCGTGTAAAGTGCCACTCGTGCATATTTTTGTTTGCCAGACGAGACGGTTATGTTGTGCTCATAATACCCTGTGCCACTAAGGGAACTAATATTGTTCTTATGCATTTGCAGTGAACGAGGGAGATATTAAAGCTCTTCTTAATTATCTTCACATTTTGATACAATTACAATTTATGGATACAATTTATAACTATCCGAACCACTGTAGAAATCGGTCTGCGAAATTCCACACAAATGTTTTCATTGTGAATAATTTTGCATTTACACTGAAATCCATTTTACTCATATATAATTTTAAGTCTATCCTCGCTTAGTATTTTATTGTGATGAAAATATCATTTATTGTTACATAATCAGTTGATATATCCAAGTCGATCACAAATGCAAACGTATTTATTTTCCATGGATTTAGTTGTGCTGCTGTTGCTTTGCTATTTTGCTGTTTGTTGGGGATATAAGCCGCAAAACGCAGTGCCACTAAAATGATGTCAGTCTGTTATGCCAACTCAAATCAGAGAGAGAGAGAGAGAGAGAGAGAGAGAGAGAGAGATGGAAGCAGAGGTCGACTATTGATCGCAAACACAATAAACACAACAAGCTGAAATTCTCTTGATGCTACATATAGATTGTATGCTGTAGGCAACCACATTTTGCTGCCAAGTGTGGCATGAAATAAGTACGCGATATATTCATAAATTATGCGCCTTTCATTGCCAATTAGAAAATCCTGATTGCCTGGATGCCGCACACACACACACATAGAGAGACATATGTATGTATAAAAGCCAGAGTTCGCTTGCAGTTGCCGTACAGCAGCCACAAGGCAACCCCAAATGAAGCCAATTAGTTGACGTAATGCTAACGACGATACCAACGAAGGAGCTGGGGCAGGGCAGGGGCCGATGCTGGGGAATGGGATGAGATGGGATGGGGAAGTAGAACGACAGTTTTTGAACTGCCTGCAAAATGAAACATTCGAAGCATACCGCCCAGCTGCCACCTGCTGTCTACCTCTGTGTGGCAAGTGGGGAGGTCGCGCGCTGAATTCGAGTGGCTAATTAATACGCCCCGTTGCACCAAAGAGTGACACAACTAGCCAGCCTCCCAACGGCCCCATCCACCCACCAACCTGCCCCCAGTCAGCAGCAGCCTGTAATGAGCGTTCAGAGTTAATTGGCGTGTAAGAAAAAGGTAAAAGGCATTTGCTGTTAGTCAAGGACCAAAAGAGGCACAAGCTGAGAACGCGCTGCAAAATTTAAGCAAGAATTTCATACTCTCTTGCAACAAAGCACATTAATTAGAAGTAATTGCCGCTGACTAATGAGCTTGTTTTTTGGAGCGACGACAAAAATTGGGCTCCCAAGCACCAGTGAGTGAAATTTCGCAGACTTACGATCTAATTTATAACCCGTCAATAGTCGGCAATAGCACCATCTAGCGTTTCGAGCGATTTTCTTTATTTTCTTTATTTTTTTCCATTTTTTGGGCAATCAACTCATATTTCATGGCATGTTCGACTGTCATTAGGATCGAAAATTGGGCGAGGCGGGGGCGAAATTGAAACGCGAAAAACAATCAAAACTTTTACGTTAACCTGGCATGAGGCAAATCAAATCGCAGACCCTCTTCTAGCACCCCCTCCCCCTGCCCCTTCCCTCTTAAAATGTAACGCAACACAAAAATATCGAACGGCAAAACTTGTGCCGCGCACACTTGTAAATATTTTTGATGCCCCGCCCCCTACCACGTGCACCTCAACCTCCCAAACGCTTAACGCCCCCGGCTGCTTTTGTTTTTATGCGATTTCAATCATTGAAACCATAACAACAACAAAAAGTCAAAACATTTTTTGCAACTATCCAAGACTAAAAGATACTCTGGAATGAGGTTCCCCAAAAAATATATAAAAGTTATAAGAAATTTTAAAAATAAAATCGACACATTATTATATGAAATCTGTAGAGTTTGCAGAGTGTTGTCAATCAATCATTGGCACCATAACAACAAGTTGAAATATTCATAAGCAGTATGCCAGACTAACAGATACCATGCAGTGAGCCCAATCTAAAAAATAATTTAAAATTATGTGAAATATAAAACTTGTAGATTTATAGATTGTTTTCGTATTTACGTAGCTGTCTCCAGATTTAAATAATATTTGCAAAAATTTGCACAGACTTGTTATACTCTCTGTGACCCACTTGATTGCTATAGGGTAGAACAGCAACATTGCAACAATTTCAAGCGGCGCCGCCTCAAATGACGCGCGAAATGAAATGAAAATTTCTTGCACCACTCAGCGAAGCACCCACCGAACCAGCCCGAGCACCCCTTGGAACCAGAGCACCGCATCTAGATCGAGTAAAGTGTAACACTTGAATGTTGTTTGTGTTTCTGATTGTGTTTTGTTGCTCGCCTTGGAATTGCCATATTGAACTCTGACACGCAACACGCAAACGATATGGATATGTGGGTGAGGTAGAGAAGAGAAGAGGCGTGGGGCGGGGGGTGAAGGGAAATGATTCAAAGGATATCAATGTCGAATAATGAAATATACCAACTTTGATGATGTGTCATATATCGCACGATTGAAATGCTACCCGGCTGCCAATATTTCGCCTATTTTGAAACATGAAAACATTTCGATAATGTGACTGGCAAACACTTTTGTATTATATCAGGGCAGGGGGAGTGAGTTTGGGTGCGGGCGGCGGCGGCGGCGATTTAAATTATGCATTGACTGCTTTCAGTTGAAAAAGTAAAAGGCAACAATAATCGAGTTGCCCTTGGCAACAAAGCGGCTTAAATGGAAAGCTATATTAAATGGACCCTCATGAAATTTATATACATACATAGAAATATCGAAAAGGTAGA